TGTTGGAGGTGGATAACACAGGTGGTGGGAGTGGTGGTGGTGGATAACACCGGTGGTGGGAGTGGTGGTGGTGGATAACACAGGTGGTGGGAGTGGTGGTGGAGGTGGATAACACAAGTGGTTTGAGCGATGGTGGTAGTGGATAAAACAGGCTGTGGTGGTGGAGGTGGATAACACAGGTGGTGGGAGTGGTGATGGATAACAAATGGTGGGAGTGGTGGTGGATAACACAGTTGGAGGTGGTGCAGGTGGATAACACTGGTGGTGGGAGTGGTGGTGGTGGAGGTGGATAATGTAGGTTATGTATATAAGCTACTGTGCCGAGCAGCACCTATGTATATAATTACGTGGCATCACTGCACGTGTTATGTGGCACCATTGCCCCGGGGCTGCCATATGGCAAGGCAGCCTCAGTCTGACTCCATAGCGCGTGCATGGCACACGCTAGTCACTACTTGTATTTCTCCTATCCGTTAATAAATGGACTTCAATGTTACCCGGTGTTTCCATACCCATCACTGCCTTCTTCAGGGAACACTTGGAACCTTCAGATAACACAAGTGCTGATGGTGGTGGATAACTCTCCAGGTGGTGCAGGTGGATAACACAGGTGGTGGGAGTGGTGGTGGTGGATAACTCAGTTGGTGGCAGTGTGTGGTGGAGGTGGAAGTGGATAACACAAATGGTGGTGGATAACATAGGTGGTGGTGGCGCAGAAGGTGGATAACATAGGTGGTGGGAGTGGTGGTGGAGGTGGATAACACAAGTGGTGGTGGTAGAGGAGGTGGATAACACAGGTGGTGGTGGTAGAGGAGGTGGATAACACAGGTGGTGGTGGTGGTGGTGGAGGTGGATAACACAGGTGGTGGTGGTAGAGGAGGTGGATAACACAGGTAGTGGTGGTGGTAGAGGAGGTGATTACAGGTGGTGGTGGTAGAGGTGGTACAGGTGGTGGTGGTGGGATAACACAGGTGGGTGGTGGTGGTGGATAACACAAGTGGTGGTGGTGAATAACACAGGTGGTGGTGGTGGTAGAGGAGGTGAATAACACAGGTGGTGGTGGTGGTATAGGAGGTGGAACACAAATGGTGGTGTGGTGGTAGGAGGTGGATAACACAAGTGGTGGTGGTGGTAGAGGAGGAGGATAACACAGGTGGTGGTGGTAGAGGAGGTGGATAACACAGGTGGTGGTGGTGGTGGAGGTGGATAACACAGGTGGTGGGAGTGGTGGTGGAGGTGGATACACAGGTGGTGGGGTTAGAGGGTGGATAACAAAGGTGGTGGAGGTGGATAACACAGGTGGTGGTGGAGGTGGATAACACAAGTGGTGGTGGTAGAGGAGGTGGATAACACAAGTGGTGGTGGTAGGAGGTGGATAACACAGGTGGTGGTGTGGAGGTGGTGGTGGTGGTGGATAACACAGGTGGTGGTGGTGGTAGAGGAGGTGGATAACACAGGTGGTGGTGGTGGTGGTGGAGGTGGATGGTGAGAGTGGTGGGGAGGTGGATAGGTGGAGGAGGTGGATAACACAGGTGGTGGTGGTGGTGGAGGTGGATAACACAAGTGGTGGTGGTGGTGGAGGGTTGGATGTGGTGTGGAAGTGGAGGTGGATAACACAGGTGGTGGTGGATAACACAGGTGTTGGTGGATAACACTGGTGGTGGTGGATAACAAGTGGTGGTGGTGGTAGAGGAGGTGGATAACACAGGTGGTGGAGGTGGATAACACAGGTGGTGGTGGTGGTGGAGGTGGATAACACAGGTGGTGGTGGTGGTAGAGGAGGTGGATAATACAGGTGGTGGTGGTGGTAGAGGAGGTGGATAACACAGGTGGTGGAGGTGGGTGGTGGTGGTGAGGTGGATTACAAGTGGTGGTGTGGATAGAGGAGGTGGATAACACAGGTGGTGGTGGTAGAGGAGGTGGATAACACAGGTGGTGGTGGTATAGGAGGTGGATAACACAAGTGGTGGTGGTAGAGGGTGGATAACACAAGTGGTGGTGGTAGAGGAGGTGGATAACACAGATGGTGGTGGTGGTAGAGGAGGGATAACACAAGTGGTGGTGGTAGAGGAGGTAGATACACAGGTGGTGGTGGTAGAGGTGGATAACACTGGTGGTGGTGGAGGTGGATAACACAAGTGGTGGTGGTAGAGGAGGTGGATAACACAGGTGGCGGTGGTGGAGGAGGTGGATACACAAGTGGTGGTGGTGGTGGAGTTGGATAACACAAGTGGGTGTGGAAGTGGAGGTGGATAACACAGGTGGTGGTGGATAACACAGGTGTTGGTGGATAACACTGGTGGTGGTGGATAACAAGTGGTGGTGGTGGTAGAGGAGGTGGATAACACAGGTGGTGGAGGTGGGTAACACTGGTGGTGGTGGTGGATGAGGTGGATAACACAGGTGGTGGTGGTAGAGGAGGTGGATAGGTGGTGGAGGTGGAGGTGGATAACAAGTGGTGGTGGTGGTGAGGTGGATAACACAGGTGGTGGAGGTGGATAACACAGGTGGTGGTAGAGGAGGGATAACACAGGTGGTGGTGGTGGAGGAGGTGGATAAACAGGTGGTGGTGGTAGACGGGTGGATAGCACAGGTGGTGGTGGTAGAGGAGGTGGATAACACAGGTGGTGGTGGAGGTAGATAACACAGGTGGTGGTGGTAGAGGAGGTGGATAACACAGGTGGTGGCGGAGGTGGATAACACAGGTGGTGGCGGAGGTGGATAACACAAGTGGTGGGGGTGGTGGTAGAGGAGGTGGATTACACAGGTGGTGGTGGTAGAGGAGGTGGATAACACAGGTGGTGTTGGTGGTGGTAGAAGAGGTGGATTACACAGGTGGTGGTGGTAGAGGAGGTGGATAACAAGTGGTGGGGTGGTGGTGGTGGATAACACAAGTGGTGGGGGTGGTGGTGGTGAATAACACAAGTGGTGGGGGTGGTGGTGGTGGATAACAAGTGGTGGGATGGTGGTGATGGTGGAGGTGGATAACACAGGTGGTGGGAGTGGTGGAGGTGGATAACACAAGTGGTGGGGGTGGTGGTAGAGGAGGAGGATAACACAAGTGGTGGTGGTGGTGGATAACTCAGATGATGGGGATGGTGGAGTTGGATAACCCCTTTGGTTTATATATCTAGATTCACCCAAGTGAATAACACCAACTTACTCACCAAGTTATTCAACAATGACTCAATTGTTGACGGTTATTCATGGTTGAGCTTGTAACTATATCAGAGGTCGAGCGCTGGCAGCTGATGCTAACCAAACAACTGCCTGACGCTCTCTCTCCTTTCTCACTCTCAGAGGAGGGAACAGATCTTTACCATTTGATCAAGGGGGAGCACGTCACTCAAGAGTTCCATCAATGTGTACTCGTAACTCCTCTCTGGAGAGATTTTACAGTATATTTTCTCACACTGTTGCTGTGTATATATTTGCTTCGCCAATAAAAGAATAAACAGCAAGAAATGTTTACATCAAGCCCTGCCACTTAAGGAGTTCCAGAACTTATTTAAAACAATGTGATACCAAAACAGCTATCACATATTGGTGACAGCCGGCGAAACGAATACTAGAAGCTAGTGCAGTACTTAGAAACAATAATTATTGATGAACCAAGTGAACCAAGTGACAAGTGGCGCCTTAAGTGAATCATCAACAAACAAGCATTTTCAAGTGAAACTTGTGGACAGTAGCTATAAACACTTTCAAAACGTATACACAAAAACCCAGTGGTAACAAAGACAACATAAAGACTTGCAGACATAGCAGTCAAACCCCCAGTACCAGCTCTAAACTCATGGTCACCCTACTGTAGCCGACGTCAACCTAGCCTTTCCAAGAGTTGTCCTGACCCTAAGCCGGCGGCGGAACTGTATAGTATAGATGGTCCAGAATGTGCTGAAAAATTGCGGTGAAACTATATAAAGACGCTTCCCCAAAATTCAGCTCCTGTATTTCCCAGCTGCGACTATACAGTATATGGTCGGATATGCATGAGTGCCCGAGAGCCTCAGAAATCCCTAACCAGCAACTCAAGGGTGGTGATAGCATACCTGATCGCTGACGCCAGCCGCTTAAAGCTCCATTCACTCGAGCAGTCTGTTCCCAGCTTTCATAAGGAAGAGAGCACTCTCTTTGGTCTCTTCTCTGGAGCTTAATTTCTATTCTTTCTTTTGATATTTCGAAGAGCTAAGTTTTGTCAGATATAATTCTCAATTTTTTTTTTGTCTGTTTGGCATTTCACCATTCATTTACTTTTTATTTTCTTTGCCTGTATTTAGAAATTATAGCCATAATTGTGTTCCGTAGGAGGAACATTCCTGATGAGGAAATACAGTATATTCTAGACCACGATTTTGATGATGAATTCATGGATGATATTAGTGATGATGCAAAATTAGGTAGTGGTGGTGATGACACTGATAGTGATGATGAATCACAACTTGAGATTATTACAGAGGAACCAGATGATATTCTGTCAGGTGCAGAAATTGATGGTCATGATGACAGTGCTTCAGTTGAATGGTTGAGCAATTCTCCAGTTAGTAGAGAACGATTTCCATTTACTGGAGACACGGGAGTCAAAGTAGTTTTGCAAGATCCTCAGAATCCAATAGAGATTTTTCTGTCTTTTGTAGACAGAGATATAATAGAACATATAGTGAGAGAGACAAACAAATATGCTGCCAAGGTCTGTGAAGAAAAGAGAAGGAGCAGTAAAATGAGGAGAAGTAGAGATCTGATGTGGAAGGAAACTAATGTTGGGTAGATGTATACCTTTTTAGGTTTGGTCATTTTACAAGGCATAGTAAAGAAGCCAACTACAGTATCTCTTCATACCACTCCTTGAACCAGATGCTTGCAACACCCTTTTTTGGGAAATGCATTAGCAGGGACAGATTTACACCTATTTTGAAGTATTTGCATCTAACTGAAAAAGGAACTAGTGATGACCCTGCTTTCAAGTTCAGGGAGGTGCTAGATAACTTTCGGCAGGAATAATGTCTAATTACATCCCCAAGGAAAATATTAGCATTGATGAGTCCCTACTTCTCTGGAAAGGAAAATGGAAAAGGTATATTCCAATAAAGAGAGCAAGGTTTGGCATAGAGACTTCCATGTTAGCAGAAGCTGAGACAGGGTATGAATGGGACCTTTTATTATATACAGGAAAAGGCACTGAATATGCTTGCGAAATACCAGGGTTGTCAGATCAAGCCATAGCCAAGCTTTCCAAACCAAGTAAGATTGTTCTTGCACCAGTAAAGCCTCTACTGAATATGGGTTATGTGCTTGGAATGGATAACTTCTATGTTTCACCGGAGCTGTATGACATCCTCTTAGCTCATGGAACTGATGCCGTAGGCACAGTAAGATTTAACAGGAAGGGGCTTTCTGATGATGTAAAAGAAAAGAAACTCAACAAAGGAGAGACAATCACCAGGTTCAATAATAAGGTGATGCATATGAAATGGAGAGACAAGGAATATGTAAACATGCTCAGCACAGTCTATGAGGACTCCATGGAAATGGTACAATCTGGTGGGAAAGAGGTAAGCAAGCCAACTGTGTGCATCAAGTACAAAAGAATGCACATGGAAGGAGTAGACCTAATGGATCAGGTAACATCTGCTTCAAGTGTCACACGCAAGGGTGTTACAAAGTACTACAAGAAGCTATTTTTCAGGCTGATAGAAATGAGTTTGCATAACTGCCATGTAATCTACAAGAGAAATGGAGGCCAGGAAAACCTCCTTGGCTTCAAGTTGCTCTTTATTGAACAGACTGTGTCTGCATATAGCAAAGATGTTTATTAGATAGAGAAACCCACAAGCTCAATGACTATTGGGCCATGCCCTACAAGACTGAATGGAAGACATTTCCCAATAGAGACAGAGTCAGCTGAAGGTGGTAGTACAAAGAATGTTCAAAGGAGATGTACTGTACTTATTGTGCAATGCAAAAGAAAGTGAGGAGAAGTATCTACAGCTGCGATGTTTGTCAAGTTGCACTGTGTATTACTCCATGTTTTAAGCTTTACCGCACATCAGAAAACCTTCCAACGTAGGAGAGTGACAGCATTGAATGAACAAATGCCACAAGAAGCAATAGTAAGGCAACAATATAGTAAGGGAGGGTGGGAGGGAAACTACATCCAGGTCACAAGTCCTGGACACAGCTTTGGCTGTGAGTGACTCCACGCTGATGATTCTACTCTTCACTCTTCTTCACATTTTCCCCTTCCTCCTGACTCTCAAACTAGATCTGTTTCTAGAACTGATATCATTACTTCTATCAACGCGGATCTGTGCAGCATCTCTGAATCGGGAGGTACAAACTTGGTTAAGTTCAATAGTAATAAAACTCAATATTTACCAATTACACTTTGTAAATTAGACGATCTCCCACCAATTACATTTCAGGACGCTATCATCTTCCCAAATTCTGAAATAAATATGTTAGGCCTCACCATTTCCTCCAATATGTCCTGGAAATCACACACCCTTAGTATAACTAAAACTGCCTCCCGAAAGTTGGGAATGCTGTACAGATGCCGTAGCTACTTCACTCCTGAGCAGTTGCTCCAAGTATATAAGGGATTCATTCGTCCTAACTTGGAGTACTGCTCTCATATCTGGGGTGGCTCTTCTTCTGTCCAACTATTAGATAGGGTGGAATCAAAGGCATTTCGTCTTATTAACTCTCCTCCTTTAGTCGACAATCTCTCTTCCCTTTCTCTTCGCCACAATGTTGCTTCACTCTCTCTCTTTTACAGATACTTTAACGGGCAATGTTCGGTGGATTTGGCATCCTGTGTACCGCCGGCAAGGCCGCGGGCTCGTAACACACGTCTTGCCCGCGGTGCCCACCGTTTCTCTGTGGATGTTGGTCACACTAGAATAACCCGTTATAGTACCTCCTCCTTTCCTCACACAGCCAAACTGGGGAATGATCTGCCTTCTTCTGTATTTCCATACTCATACAATCTGTCTCACTTTAAAAGGCTGGTTTTCCGGCATCTTCGTGGTGTAGATTAATACAGTATAACCTTTTTTTTCTATATTTACAATTTCTTTCCATTCTTTTTTTTCTCCCCCCCCCCCAGGCTCCGTTGTGGGTGGTTTGACCTGTGCCCAGGTGGGCTAATTCCCGTAAAAAAAATGAATGAATAAATGCCACAAGAAGCAATAGTAAGGCAACACTCTAGTAAGGGAGGGTGGGAGGGAAACTACATCCAGGTCACAAGTCCTGGACACAGCTTTGGCTGTGGGTATGAGTGACTCCACGTACCTTACTTATACAAATATAAATAATAGCCACTTACAAAATTCACGTTTTAATATTAAAAGCATCTTTTCTATGATAATGAAATATAGCAACTGTTCCATACTGCGGCAGAGTATATATATATAGATGGTGTTAAAATTTCACAAAATGTGGTGTTACTTTATGTTCCACTCCATCCGTCGGCGTCATCTATATAATGACGATTTTTAAATTTGGCGCTTCTTCAGTCACTGCTGCCGCCGGCTAAGGGTTAGTGTAGCAGCGAACTCACGGTCAGACAGACAGCCAGCCAGCCGGAAGTACAACACAGGAGTACTAGGGAGGTTGTCATCGTGGTTCTAGACAAGCGAGCAACATCTTACTAAAACAATCAAGCCTCGCCAGTGAGCACAAAGGTGCCCTCAGGTTGATCGCCGCAAGATGTGTGACGTCATTCTTCCCAGAGTAGGACGTCATCGACTTCTGACGTTATCGCCTGGCGTCGAAACTCTAAGGACTCTTCGGTCAGGTAGATCACAAACAATCATTATTTGACAGACTACACAAACACAAGAGAACTTCAAGAAGTCTTCACACGTAATCAATATAAAATATAAACTATTTGCACAAATGCCAAAAAGCAAAACTAAATAAACACATTTAGAAAGTAAGAGAGGACTTACAGAAGGTATATATATATATTTTCTATACTTTTCATACTTTTCGTACGTTTTAATAATTTTAATTTTTGTTCTTCATTTCCATAAATCATTTTAAATATTTTTGCATTTCTCCTTGAGTGGGCAACGTAGTAAGTGTTATGTTGCAAGTGAAGTGATATATATTCATATTTATGGACCCTCTTCCAAAATTTTTGGGTTTCACAGGAAATTAGTGACTCAGACTCTGATAACCAATCATCTAATAATTCACAGGAGCTAGTGCCAACTGATAGTGAGGAAGAATTACCACAAAATAGCCAAATAGAGTTAACACCTACCGACTCTTTCGCTAACTGTGAAAATTTCATAGATTCCCAGTTTGAGGATTTACACATTTGACAACTATGGTCAGGGAACACTTACCCATTACCTTCACATGTTACTAACGCTAGTGCTTTAACTAACAACAAAAATGGCAACAGGTGGTTCTACTAACCCACAGACTTCATCGGTCTGTCAAACTGTAAAAATACCTCCAAATAACATTAAGGGACAAGAATTATAATACCTTAATATTTTGCGTAAGTGCGAAGATGTAATGTGAAACAATAATATTGATAGCGATGAGGATAAATTCTCCTACGTCCGAAGCAACGTCAAAACCGGTAGTCGGACACATAGAATGATGTACGCTTCAGCCATTGATGAGGAAACAGATGACGATCCAACGTTTAGGAAAAAATTCATATCCTTTTTTGGGTCAGGTACCAAAGGAGGTGCGCTTATTTGGATTTTCAAGATGACAGAGCGTACAAGTAACAGTGTATTTGCTCACGACACACATGAAGTGAGGCTTTACCCGGGCACACTAAGATGGATCTCAAAACTTACATGTCATCCTCAAATTGGGATGGCTCGGTTGACGTCAACTGACGTCGGCTCCAGTCGGGTGACCATGAGTTTAGAGCTGGTGCTGGGGGTTTGACTGCTATGTCTGCAAGTCTTTATATTGTCTTTGTTACCACTGGGTTTCTGTGTATAAGTTTTGAAAGTGTTTATAGCTACTGTCCACAAGTTTCACTTGAAAATGCTTGTTTGTTGATGATATACTGTGAATTCTCTCCAGAGAGGAGTTACGAGTACACATTAATAGAACTCTTGAGTGACGTGCTCCCCCTTGATCAAATGGTAATGATCTGTTCCCTCCTCTGAGAGTGAGAAAGGAGAGAGAGCGTCAGGCAGTTGTTTGATTAGCATCAGCTGCCAGCGCTCGACCTCTGATATAGTTACAAGCTCAACCATGAATAATCGTCAACAATTGAGTCATTGTTGAATAACTTGGTGAGTAAGTTGGTGTTATTCACTTGGGTGAATATTTATATAAAGCAAAGGTGCTGTTACACCCCCACCTGTGTTATCCACCATCACCACCCCTAGTGTTATCCACCTCCAACACTTCCACCCTCAGTGTTATCCACCTCCACCACCACTCCCATCACCTGTGTTATCGACCACCACTACCATCACTCCCACCAACTGTGTTATCAAGCTGCACCACCACTCCCACCACCTGTTATCCACCACCACCAGTGTTAAGAACATAAGAACATAAGAAAATAAGGAGCCTGCAATAGGCCGGTTGGCCTGTGCATGGCAGCTCCTGTCGAGAGTTACAACCACTCTCTATCATCAATGAATCTATCTAGCCTCCTTTTGAAACTTTCCAGAGTTCCAGCACTTACTACAAAGTTGGTAAGCTTGTTCCACTCGTCCACCACCCTATTTGTGAACCAGTTTCTTCCTATCTCCCTCCTAAACCTAAACTTATCCAACTTAAATCCGTTGCTCCGAGTCCTATCCTGCTCGGATATTATAAGAACTTTATCTATATCCCCTTTACGGATTCCTTTCACCCACTTAAATACTTCTATCCTATACCCCCGCGCTCTTCGTCTTTCTAGGGAATGCAAGTTAAGTTTCTTTAACCTATCCTGATATGGAAGGTTTCTAAGTCCCGGAATCATTTTCGTCATTCTTCGCTGCACCGACTCTAGTGAATTGATATCCATTCTATAATAAGGGCAGCAGAACTGAACCGCATAATCGAGGTGCGGCCTGACTAGCGCAAGATATAGTTGCAATAAGACCTCTGCACTCTTATTACTTACACTTTTAGATATAAAACCCAATACTCTGTTTGCCTTATTTCGAACATTAACGCACTGTTTTCTAGGCCGTAGGTTAGGGCTTACAAGTACCCCGAGGTCTCTTTCACAAGTCGACTTCTCTAGGATGATGTTGTTAAGGCTGTATACATTGTCAGTATTTGTTCTTCCAATATTAAGTACGCTGCACTTGCTGGTGTTGAATTTCATTTGCCATTTTTCAGACCACCCCTGCAGTTTATTTAGATCCTCCTGTAATGCATTTGCATCCTGCCCTGAATTAATCTGCCGCCCTATTTTGGTGTCATCCGCTGCAGTATAAGATCATACAACTGGGGCTACCCGAAAATCTGACGCGCCTGCTGTGTAACTTCATTATGGACCGCAGAGTCAAAATCAAGATGTAAGAACATTTTGGAGAAGAATTCTCACTATCGAGCGGCGTGCCTCAGGTTCTTGTCTCTCACCAACCCTTTACACACTCTACACGGCTGACCTGCCACCCCCAATCGTCGGCAGTGAGTACGTCATGTATGCCGACGATGTAACACAGATCGTCACCTGCCCAGGAAGGTCCACAACAAGGATGGCGCGACTCACTGCTCGGGCAATAGAGGAGATCTCGGAGTATGAAAATAAATGGAAAATAAAAACAAACAAAACGAAATTTGAGGTCATACCCATAGCCAAATTCAAGCCGGCCCCATTGATGATCGACGACGA